CGTAAATGAACTAGGCCTCGGTTAATTACTGCATTCACTTAACCCGTAAGATATTAAACAGGCAGATATATATAATATATATTACTTTGATTCAAATGGGTGAGGTTCAGTTCGCGGGATTAATATTCCTACTGTTTTGGGTAATATTATTATATATAGGATGTGTTGTTAGGATATTTACGGTCACCATGTGCGTTAGTTTGATGATGTCCCCGGAGTGAGTTCATGAAGGATTGTTATGCTAAACCCTGCAGGTGGATTAAGTTCCGGCATAATAAGAATGTGATGGACGAGCGCTAGCTTCGGTGAAATAATAATAAATTAATTAATTCTTGATTATCAGTAATTGAATTAATTAATGGACATTATATCTTAAATGTGGGGAGGTAAATCGAGTAATTATTCTTGTAGTCTCAAATGTAATTTGGGCTAGGAAAAGGGAGTGCAATAATATAATGTTGGTGGCCCATTAATATTATTTAATCAATTAGAGAAGTGAGCTTGGCTCACAGTTAGTCTAATTAATTAATGAGTCCTTTTCCTAATCTCCTAAGGGTCCCTACTGTAGCTTTATATATATATATCATTAAGCTCATGAGAAGAGAATCCCAATCTCATTCTAACGAGACACGCCCCACGCCTCTCTCTCTCTCTAGATCGCATTCGAGCTTTATCTTCTTCTTGTTGCTCTACCGGTACAAGTAGAAGAATGGTGTATTGAGTAATACAGGAGAAGATCTGTAGGTAAACCGAGACGAAATATATTTTGACCTACAGAACTAACCGGAAGTCCGATTGAGACGTACAGCATACCCAGACGACCGTCTCGACGAGAGCTTTCCATCTCCGCCGAGATCGCCGCCGTCTTACGCCTCACGCGCTGCCGGAAGCTCCCAGGCTGATCTGTTTGCCTCCGTTTGATCCGATTTTGATCTGATCTTGTTCGTGCAACCCAAGACTTGATTTGCGGTCAATCAATTGCGGTCAACCGTTCGTGATCAACCAGATCTACATAAATTTTAAGCCGTAAGTTCTCTACGTCAAACCTTTAGATCCGCTGCGCATAGGTTTATATTTGCTTTTGAATTCGTGACTTGTACATAACGAGATCCTCACAGATCCCTAACAGAGTGGACTGCCATCTCATCTCAGCCCCCTCACTATACAAAATGATTCACCAGGAGGTCCCTTCACAAGTTGAAGAAATGTTCATGATAAAAGTACCTGGCAAAGGCACTGGACAGAATCCTAAACTCACTCAGCTCCTAGATGATTTTTCTGATATTTTTTAGGAACCACAGAGCCTCCCACCAACTAGAGGCATTGGGCACCACATTTCATTGAAGGGGTCAAGCCTGCCTAAACATCAGCACCCCTATAGGGTGTCCCACAGCCAGAAGAATGAAATAGAAAAGATTGTAGGGGAATTGCTAGCAACTGGGCTTATCCAACATAGCAATAGCCCTTTTGCATCCCCAGTGCTTTTGGTAAAAGAGAAGGATTCTTCTTGGAGGATGTGTGTGGACTACAGGTACCTAAACAGTTTAACAATTACGCATGATTTTCCTATTCCCATCATAGATGAACTATTGGATGAATTAAATGGTGTAAGCTTCTTTTCAAAGATTGACCTGAGGTCAGGTTATTTTCAAATTCTCATGAAGCCAGAGGACAGATCCTTACTGCATTTAATACACATCATGGGCAATTTGAATTTCTTGTAATGCTCTTTGGCCTGTGCAATGCACCAGCAACATTTTAGTCACTGGTCAACCAGGTTTTCCAAGCTCAACTCAGAAAAACAGTGTTAGTATTCTTCGATGATATTCTGGTTTATAGTAAGTGTTGGGAAGATCACCTTATTCATCTACAGGAGGCGTTGGAAATCCTAAGGAAGAACAAGCTTTATGCCAAAAGGAGCAAATGTCAATTTGGTCAAAAAGAAGTTGACTATTTGGGGCACATTATCTCAGAATCTGGAGTTTCTACTGACCCAGGTAAAATTGCAGCTATGGTACAATGGCCCATTCCTACTACCATCAAACAGCTCAGAGGATTTTTGGGACTCATTGGTTATTATAGGAGATTCATAAAAGGTTATGGCATCATTAGCAAACCTCTGACCAATTTACTCAAAAAGGGGGCTTTTCTATGGACTTCAGAGGCTGATGAGGCTTTTCAGAAACTAAAGGAGGCTATGGTGAAGGCTCCAGTGCTAGCCTTACCAGACTTTTCCAAGCCATTTGTCTTGGAAACTGATGCAAGTGGAACCGGAGTTGGTGTTATTCTCATGCAAAATGGAAGACCCATTGCTTTCATGAGCAAGTTCCTTTGCCCTAAAAATCAGTCTCTTCCCATCTATGACAGGGAATTTTTTGCCATCATTATGACCATCCAGAAATGGAGTCACTATCTTTTGGGGTATAAATTTGTAATAAAAGCCGATCAACAAGCATTAAAGCACTTATTAGATCAGAAGGTGGTTACTCCTGTCCAACAAAAATGGATTTCTAAGCTCCTGGGTCTAAACTATGACATTCACTACAAAAAAGGAAAACAGAGGGGCTGATGCTTTATCCAGGAGTGGTATTGATGAAGATTGTTTAATTATGTCCACAGTCTCTCCTGCTTGGGTTCATCAGGTGGCAGAAAGTTACACAACTGACACTTTCTTCAAGCAAGAGATTGAAGATAAGCTCCTAAGCCCTACCTCACACCCTGAGTTTGAACTCCTAGGAGATATTCTTGGGTATCAAGGAAGGTTGGTCATTGGGAATCATGGAACCCTAAGAGAGGTACTATTAAGTGAGCTACACAATTCAGCCTTGGGAGGTCATTCTGGTATCCAAGCTACCTATATGAGGATATAAAGAGTTTTTTTTCTGGCCAGGCCTTAAAAAAGATGTTGCAGCTTGGGTGAAGAGGTGTGATGTTTGTGCTAGAATTAAATCAGATACTGGAGGGTATCCAGGGTTATTACAACCTCTCCCAATTCCTACTCAGGCATGGACTCATATATCCATGGATTTTATTGAAGGCTTACCAAAGTCATTGGGAAAGGATGTTATTCTGGTGGTTATTGACAGATTCACCAAGTATGGTCATTTCCTAGCACTTTCTCATCCCTACACTGCCTCTACTGTCTCTAAACTTTTCTTAGACATGGTGTACAAGTTGCATGGGCACCCAGTGAGCATTGTCTCGGATAGAGACAAAATCTTCACAAGCTCATTTTGGCAGGAGTTATTCAAACTCTTGGGTACTAGCTTGGATTTAACATCAGCTTATCACCCACAGTCAGATGGGCAAACCGAGAGGTTAAATCAATGCTTGGAAAATTATCTCCGAAGCATGGTTTTTGAAAACCCAAAGCAGTGGGCAAAGTGGTTGCCTTTGGCTGAATACTGGTACAATACAAATTATCACACTAGCCTGAAATGTTCCCCTTTTGAGGCTTTATATGGGCCCCCCCCCCCCCCCCTCCTTACTTCTCTTTAGACTTTTACTTACACACACAAGATGCCGATGTCTCAGAATTCATGACACAACGAAAGCACATTTTACAAGACCTCAAGAAAAATTTGCAAGAAGCCCAAAACAGGATGAAACATAATGCAGATAAACACAGGGTCGATAAACATTTTAATGTAGGGGATTGGGTTTATTTGAAGTTACAGCCTTTTCGTCAGAATTCAGTTTCCCTACACAAAAGCCTCAAGCTATCTGCTCGCTACTTTGGTCCCTATCAGATATTGGAAAAATTTGGGGAAGTCGCTTACCGTTTGGATTTACCGGCAGATGCAAAGGTGCACCCAGTCTTTCACGTCTCCCTCTTGAAGAAAAAGATCCAGCCTCCTTTAGCTCCGGAATCGACATTTCCCCCAATTGACTCAGATGGACAGTTCTGCATTTCCCCGGTAGCTGCTATTGATCATCGCCAAATTAACCGACGTGGTCGCTCAGTTTCCCAAGCACTTGTTGAATGGCCCAGTGGTATAAATCGCCTTTCTACATGGGAAGATGTTTCATTTCTCCGGCGTCGATTCCTAAAGTTCGATCCTTGGGGACAAGGATCTCAAAACGGGGGCGGTATTGTCATGAATTTAGGGGATATTGAAGAAATGGGGAAGCTAGGGTTTGATGAAAAGAAGAAATTGGAGCTCGATAATTTGAATCTGAGCAAGTTGACTGAAAATGAAGAAAATGAAGAGTTGAAAGTGGGGAAACACGTTTCGATCATTGAGCAAATCTGATTGTTTTAGCTGGTTTAATTGTAGTGATCCATTTGTCTTAGTGTTATTGGATCATTTTTTGTTTTTATCTATGCCAAACAAAAGGCATTTTTCAATTATTGTGGGCCCGTTTGGCTAAAACCATATGTATGCGCATTTCACCTTTGGAGAAAAATAACAAGAAAATTTTCACTCACTCCTTGTTTCTCTCTCTCCCTCATCTATCTTTTCCTTTCTTCTCTATCTTATTCTGCAACCCTCCATAGCTTACATTCCATTAATATACAAAGTAATTTATATCAAAATACAACAAATCATTACGTAAAGTTATTATGTATTTTTTGAAGGAAAATGCTACAAGTACATACATAGAGGTGTACATAACACTTACATGGAGTAGGTCCACTTGATTTTTTATTTTTGGTGGGTCCCACTAAATGTGAGTTTTATGTACAATATTATGTAGTTAGCATTACTCTTTTTTGAATAACCTTTATACAAATAATAGGGACGTGAATGAAGATATACTCGACAATGGACTCTACTAGCACAAATTTGCCTCTTGAACTCTTGTTTTCACTATGCATTTCATTTGATTATAAGAATTTCCATTTTCAGACAAAAACATCCTCATTTTCGATAATTCTTCAACAATGCAGTTCTGGTCTTTGGCCGCTTGGCTCAATTCTGTAATCTCGAGGATTTTAACCCCACCAATTCTGGACACTTGTTAGATGTGTTTCATCAGTCCCATATCCATTACTCCCCATGCGCTCGCAGTTGATCCAAATCACGTCCAAGATGACTGCCCTCGCAAAATCCGGAAGCATATCACATGCTCGAAACCTGTTCGACCAAATGCCTGACAGAGACACGATTGCATGGAACGCAATCATAAGTGGATATTCCCACCAGGGACTCCACCACGAATCCCTTTCTTTATTCAACCACATGAGATTCAGCAACGTTAAGCCCGATCACTTCACGTACACTGCAGTACTAAGCGCTTGCGCGGGCCTAAAGGATCTGAAATCGGGCCAAAGGTTTCATGCTCTGGTTATCGTCTCAGGCTGGAATTCTTCTCTGCCCGTTAATAATTCCTTTATCGACATGTATGGGAAGTGCTTGAAAACCTGGGACGCTCGAAAAATGTTTGAGAACATGGGTTTTCTAAAGAACGTTGTTTCTTGGTGCTCGTTGTTGTTTGCTTATGTGAATGCGGGTTTTCTCGATCTCTCGTGCCATGTGCTTTTTGATATGCCAGGAAGAACAGTTGTGGCTTGGAATACTGTTATTGCAGGGTGTGCAAAGTGGGCCCAGCCTGAACTATGTCTCGATTTGTTCAAGAAGATGTTGGGGAAGGATTATTTTAGCCCGGATCAGTGGACTTTGAGTTCGGTTATGAATTCTTGTTCCGAAATTTGTGAGCCGTGCTACGGTCATATGGTGCACGGTTTTATAATCCAAACCGGCTGGGAAAATGCGGTTGAGGTCAGTAACTCTGTACTCAGCTTCTACGTAAAAATTGGCGAGAAAGATGAAATCTTGAAAGCGGTCGAGGCTGTTACAACATTCAACGAGATTTCTCGGAACGTGATCATCGATGCATATATGAAGATCGGTAATCTCGAAGAAGCATGCCGCGTTTTTCATTCTTTGCCGGAGAAAAATCTCGTATCTTGGACTTCGATGATAGCTGGATGCGTGAGAAACGGGCACGAGGAACGGGCTTTGAATTTTTTTACCGACCTAACGAGAAGTTTTATTCGGCCGGACGATGTCACTTTGGGAGCCGTCCTGCACGCGTGTTCTAATCTGTCGGCACTAGGCCGAGGTCGAGCCGTTCAACTCCACGTCATCAAATCAGGTTTTCATGCCTATTGTTATGTGGGCAATAGTCTCGTGAACATGTACGCCAAATGTGGGGACATTCTCGATGCTTATCGAGCTTTCGAGGAAATCCCGTTCAAGGATTTGATTTCGTGGAACACGATGTTGTTTGCGTTCGGATTGCACGGGCAGCCCGTTCGGGCCCTGCGCGTTCTCGACGAAATTTCGTCTTCTGGGCTTAGGCCCGATAAAGTGACGTTTATCGGGCTTCTGATGACGTGTAGCCATTCGGGCCTGATTGATGAGGGCATATCCCTTTTCGAGGCGATGTCTTCGAAATACGGGCTCTGGCCCGATACCGATCACGTTGCGTGCGTGGTGGATATGCTCGTTCGTGGCGGGAAATTCGAAAAAGCCGAAGAATTCGTGAATAATAAGTGTCGCGAGGGTTTAGATGGGAATGCGAAAACGGGCTTATTGGAGGTGCTTGTGGGGTCATGTTCGGGTCGGGGGGATTTGAAGAGTGGGGCTGAGCTGGCGGAAAAACTGCGTGCCCTGAGGCCAAGTGATGAGATGGGGTACGTTGTGCTGTCGAATTTGTACTGTGCGAGTGGGGAGTGGGTGAGAGCTCAGGGTTTGAGGAAAGTGATGGCCGATCGAGGAGTGAAGAAAATGTACGGTTGCAGTTGGGTCGAGGTAAGGAATCGGGTTACGGGTTTTGTGGCGGGAAGTGGTTCGTTTTCTTGTATGGAAGAGGTTTGTGGGGTGCTTTTACTTGTTCAGAGGGAGACGAGGCAGCCTGTGACTGTTTTTGGTTGGGATGGGATTACGTAGGATTACATGTTGTCACAGTTAGGTGGTGAAATTTTTTGTGTAGTGAATATGTAATAGATATAGACTCGAAACATGGTAAAAACGACTGTATGTTTTTCCTTCCTTATTCTTTTTGGTGTTTGCAAGGAATAAAATAGTGATTGGATGGTGATTAAAAATATCTAGGTATGAAAATTGTAATTTATGTTGCTCACGTTATTATATCATTTGAAGCGGGGCTAACTTGGGCTCCTACAACAATATGATTAATTTTTTTATCCTTGTCGCAAGTCTGCGAGCAGTGAGCTTGGCCTTCAATTGATCCTTCTTGGCCTTCAGTTGTTTGTTCTTGGCCGCAAGACCCTCACCCAACAATTCTTCGTCCAAAAGAGGACCGAGCCCATACAAGGCCTAAGAGACAAGAACGTAGAAACAAAATAGAGAGTTAGCTAAGGAAAGTAGCAACAAAGATAAATACACTATGAAGAAGAATTAGTTTATACCTGAAGAGTATGCAAGAGCACGTGGGAAGCTCGGAGAGCCCAGTTCCCGCGCCACCGATTGGCTTCCCTCTCAGGGAAGATAGAAAGAAGGTAGGTGGATTGGCTACCAATGTCGTTGGAGACCGCCAGCATCGGAGACATCTCCAAGATAGTAGCAGCAGGAGAATCAGCCACTTTTGACCTTGAATGTACCTCAATCACGATGGGTCTAGAAAAGGTCTCAGTCGCTCTAGTTTTTGGAGACGCTCCCATGTTTTTCCGCTTTTTTGAGTGAGGTCTCTTCGTCGGTGTAGGGCCTGCATGGCGTTGGTGGAACTGTGAAAGTCCCCCCAACATCGGTTATGGGGGGCTGCGGGGGCTTGCCCCGAGAAACAGAGCTCAGTCGAGCCTTCTTCAGTATAGAATTTGCAAAAACAGATAGGATAAAGGGTATTAGTTACAACAAAAGCAATAAGATGATAGTACGAGGAACATAAGAGCATAAAAATTATTATAATATAACATATGTAAATTGCACAAGTAACAAGTGTCATTCTAAAATATATACTAACTAGTATAACACCCGTGTATTACACGGGTGCTTGTTAAAAAACTTTTCTTAAATTTTAAAATTAATGAGAAAATTATTTTAAATTTTATTTATTTTTTTACAAAAAATATATATTATTATATATTTTAGAATGACACTTGTTACTCGTGCGACTTACATGTGTTGTATTATAGTAATTTTTATAACTTATATCATATAACTACTTGAAATATAAATATATTAATTGATAAATAATTTTATTTTTCTAATTAATATTAAAAAAAATTATTGTTATAAAGATAAATATAATTATTTTATTTATACATACAATATGAATGTTAAATCGAAGTTCATCAAGAGATGATTAATTTGATATATTATATATGTAAAACTGATAAAAAATACAAAAGTTATTAACTTTTAAAATATATTTACAATTTAATAGTTATAATAAGAAATGATATTAAGATGCAATTAATACATGTAACATGATCATAAATAATCAACATATTTATGGATAGTCCGAACGTAATTATTTTTGTATTAGAAGTAAATTAAAATCTAACCAAGCCTAATAAAGAAACATGTAATTTTGCCACATAGGATCCCGAAGCATGCGAGTTTGCCACTTAGGTTCAGCATGTTTTGAATTAATATATAAGAGATATTCGAGACCATGGTCTTCCTGCAGTGCTATAGGCTTTTGACTCTCTCTCTCTCTCTATAGTTTAGCCATAGGGGCAAAAAAGGGAAATCCAGTAGATCAGAGAGTCATAGTAGTTAAAATCACCGAGTTTTTTCAAAAAAAGTAAATAAAATTTAGAATAATTTTTTTCATTAATTTTAAAATTTAAGAATAATTTTTTAATAAGCACCCGTGTAATACACGACTATTGTACTAATTAATTATTATACAAGAAAATCCGTACTTGGTTAGTCTTTTTAAAATTTTGAAGCTCAAAACAAAGTTAAATCCCTGTCTCTACTAATATAGACAAAAGATATAAAGTGAAGAAAATAAATAAAAATAACAGAAAACCATATCCACAAAAACTAGTGTATATCCCGTGCGATGCAAGGAAGAGTTCATATTTTAAACATTTTTTAGACTTTATTTTAAATATAATTATTTATATTTTTCACTTCTCGTCTATTATGAAAATAAAATAAATACAACCAATGAAAAATATATATTATTAAATACTTTTCTTTAAACAATATTTTTTATTTAAGGAATATTATTATATCTTACGGTTTTGATTTGTTTTTTTAAATCAATAATCCAAAATATATGATTGTTAACGTACAAAAAATAATGAAAATAATCCAGACTTTAAAGTAAAGCTATTTTTTATTATTTTACAAATAAAAATCTTCCAAATTTTTTTTAATTTTAAAAAAATGGCAAGTTTGATAATGAGTTAAATCAAGTTATACAAATGATTAAATAGTTAAAATGTTATATCAATTATATTTTAAGAAATCCGATTATATAAAAATGGGTAAAAAAATATTATACTAATTAGCTTGTTAGGATTGTGATTATATGGAAGTTAAAATAAAATGAAATGTAACCAAAAAATTTGTTCGTGGTCTTTTCCTTTAAATGTTTGAATTTAAAAATTTAGTAACCAAATTTACATTATATCACGTAAGGAAAAAAATAAATAATAAATATTTATTAAAGAGATAAATCATTAATATTTATCACTTAGATAATAAATAATAAATATTTACATGTAAAAAAATAAATAATAATATATTTAAAAATATAAGTCAGAATTTCAAATAAAGTAAAAGGAGGGATAATTCATTTTTTTAAAAGTTTCTAAATATTTAATATATTGATAAGTATCTCCATAAGAATAATCATACCATTTTAATTTTAAAAAAATTGGCAAGTTTGTTAGAGAGATAAATCCAGTTAGACAAATGATTAATTTGTTAAGACATTATATTAATTGTATCATAAAAAATCGGTTAGATAATGTAGATTGTTTGGAATCTTTTCCTTTAAAGTAAAAGGTATGCTTATTCAAATTTATTTTTAAAATAAAAGTAATGATAAACATTTATTGATTCTCTTTCAAATATATTAATAAAATAAAAATATAAATCTAAACAAATTTTGAAACAACCAAAAAAATCGGATTGATTGGCAAAAAAAAGGAAGTGAAATCGGATTTGAATGCTAAAATCGGAACACCTTACCAAATTGAATGCTAAAAGATTCGATTTGATTGGTTACCTAATTGCATGGGCTGAAAAAATTCAAAAAAAAAATTTACGAATTGAAGAAGCGAGAAAAACACTATATTGAAACGGGAAAACGAAATAATTTTTTTCGGATTGTTCAAATAATTTTTCTTCTCCGTATTATATTATATAGGATAAGACATTTATTCCGATGTATTCCATCGTGAAACTCTTGCTGAACCACGCATTGAATGCTCGCGTAGCACCAAGTATGAACTCAGTATTATCTGCATTAGGAACAAATATACCACATAGCTTATCTTCAAGTAAGTAGTTTATAAGGAAGTCATCAAACTCTAGTGTCCAATTTAGGTCGTACAAATAGTCTGCTTGCACTAAACCAAAATCAGGAGCCATCGCAAAATTTATGACTTAGGAATTTTCTTGTTTTTTATAACTTCAGTAATAGTTGACTACTTCCTTCAATGGTTGTGGAATACTTAGTATGTGTTATGGTGTTTAAATAGAAAATTTCGTGAACCAAATCAATCATGCATTCAACGGTTGGACCAATGGGTATGGTCTTATTGTCTATTCAATGCAGCTTTGCAGAAGTAGCTGTAGGCTACCTATAGACATGTGTAGTGACTTGTCATAGCCTGTCCCCCATTATCTGACATTTTTGACCAAAAAGATGACTCCAGGGGTCACTTTAGGGTTGTGGGCATGCTCTTTCATCATAACACGACACCTATATGGATTGGTTTCATATTTATAAATTTTGGTGAGTATGCATTGATGTGATTAAATGGAAAAATTGAAAGCCATAAGACCAATAATGCATGTGTCATACATGAATTGCAGAAGCTGGTAAAGACCTATCAGCTCAGCTATGGAGAATAGCTGAAGAAACCTGGCATTAGACCTGCATTGAACTGCATTTGTACACATGTCCAGTCATTTCAAAACACGCAATTCAAAACTGCATTATTAATTGTCACTTTAACGCAAACAACAAAATTTGTTTTCAACCTGCCAAGATGTAACTAATCTTCTTTACCGGGCCAGCTTGGCTATGCATAGGGCTCAATAATAGGTCGAATTAGTTTTCATAAAGTTGTAATTGAACATAAATGATGGTAAACATGGTCGTGAAGTCATTTACTGCAATGACAACCTTTATTGCGTGTATTAAGCCTACCTATACACCTGTCGTGAGTTGTCATATCACGTCATGTCAAATATAAAACTTTTGACCATGACGTTAACAGACGCCTTAATGGTCAGTTTTCAGCCATTGTGACCAATAATGCATGTAATTATTTAAATTGAATATAAGATTTCACAATAAAGTTGAATGCATAGTAATCCATCGTTAATAAAACAGTACAAAGTAGGTTTACAAAATATCAGTTATTACACACAGCCCTTGTGGACCATAATTTAAGGACATCATCATAGTTTATTCTACCCGACCTTACTTAAAAAACAAAAGACTGAAACAAATCAAAACAATGATCCAAACTGTAGATTTCATATATTTGAGCTTCTTCTCCAAACTTCGAGCTTTACGGACCGCATAATCAAGGCTCAACTGTAGTTCTACATTTTTCGCTGTTTCAATCTCCAAATTGTTCAACAACACCTTCTTCTCATTTTCCAACGTATTTTTCTCGGAAGCTTTTAAGTCTAGCCTCTCTGATAGCAGTTTCTCCATTTCTTTTTGGTAAAACATTTGGTCCCGCAACCGGTCCTTCTCAGCCTTAAGCTTGTTAAAACAAGCCTTTTGGAACGGCGGCAACTCGGGATCAATCCATAGAAACAGGGGACAAGGCTTTTTACCATCATTCAACTATGAAAAATCAAAATAATTCAGTGGTAAAACTTCATGTACATACTTGTTAACAAAAGAAAATACTCTTTTCCACACAAACAAAACTATCAAATAAGCTTTGCCACAAAGTGGGAATAAAATTTTACCCTGATGTGAGAACATTTGCAGAACCTTCGAGCTGGATTTTCACTCGTTGTTGATGTCAACACATCGGCTACGTCGCCACAACCACATAGCCTATAATCAGAAGGACTACTAGAGGATCGGTTATATGGAGTGCTTGAACTCGTGTGAGAAAAATATGACATCTTGCTTGGCTGAAAAAAAGATTTTGAGAAAGTGCCCCCCTGTGGTTGAGCTTAATCACAAATTAACATCAAAGCACATATATATATAATTCAGTAAAGACCTCATAGTTACAATATTCTGCATTCAGACACATTTAAGGGCTGAGCCATAAAAGTGCCCCCTGTGGTCTAGCTTAGTTATGAAAATGATAAAGAAAGAAAGTTCTGGTACTTCCCAAAATCACAAAAGGAATCAACCTTAGGTATTGCAATAGCCAGTTAGCTGTTAGGTTTTTATTTTCACAAAATCACAAAAGGAATCAATGCACTAGGATACATTTATTCGAATTGCAATAGAGATCAATTGTACATGCTGTGAAGCTGACATTGAGTTCTTCCACAAAATTCAGAAAAACATTGATTTTTAATGTAAACATTTTGGTTCAAAATTTGTATGAAACACAAAAACCATAACCATAACATATTACCCTTCTCTAAGCACCCAACACAAGCAGTGCAAGGCTATCTTCAACCTCAGAGCAATTAAGAAATATAACAGAGACAAACCGTACAAATGAAAAAAGTGAAACGAGCTACTGAAGTAAGAGGTATAAGCACTGCATATGATCGAACAAACACAACTAACAAATTCAGGTTCAGAAAAGTCCTCCAAAAATCGTAAAACAACACCTCAAAACTCAGGTTAACCTACGAAATGAAGTACCTATCAGAAAACCTTTGTCGGTTAAGGAAATGAAAACCCATATATAATAAGTACAACATATATGTTCAGAAAGATTCATATTCGAATCCGGCAAAACTACAGAAGGGTATATCCACAAGTTAAACATCACAGACAAAATGTGAACAACTTAAAGCAAATCTAATGACTGAAGAAGGAACCAAAAAAAAAAAAAAAAAAAAATCTTTACCATAGCCACCAATATAACCACAAACATAAAAATGTTATCTTTCAGAAAGACTCAGTACCCTTCAAGCTCGCTCTTGAGTTTTGAGCTCCCACTACATCATATGATACCCAGCAGACAATATTTCGAAACTTCCAAGAATGGATTTTATGAAACCAATCGAAGTACAAAAACATTCAGAACAGAGAACTAAATCACTTGCACAAACAATCAGACAATGGAATTCAGAATACAGACAGAAGGAACCTACTGAACGGAGTCAGACCCTGCGTGTGCGTTTCTTATGGAGATAAACCCTCCGCCATTTTCCCTTTCTTTCTGTCTCTATCTCTGTGTGTAAGCGCCGTTCTTCCTCGCCCGAAAATGTCTGTGGACCTCGTATTCCCGAATGAAAGATTATTTCGACTCAAATCTGGAATTTCATCGATGCTTTGGGTTGATTAGGGTTCGGTCTCGACGTTTATCTCTGAAAGAGGGACAAATGATTTGAGAGTGAAGACAAGGGTATGTAATGGGAGGGTAAATTGGGCATATTCTTGTATCCTATGAATTTATCCAGCATAGTAAACATGGGACAAATTCCAGATTATATAATCCCTTAATGTAAACATGGGATAAATTGCTGACATGTAAAGTTAACTTGATTAAATTGTCATATCCCATCACATAAAGTAAACGAAGCCTTAATAGATTGCAAACCAAAAGGCTTCGCCCATCACTTTCAAGTTCAAATCTTGTGGAAGCCACAAATTCTTATGCAGAAAAAGGAAAATTGTAAATAATAAAAATGCGCCAATGAATAAACTTTGTAATTGCCTTTTAAATTGTGGCTGGGAAATTAGCACTGCTCTTATCAAATGGAAGTGATTCTGGGAAGCTCATCAGCCTCTCCTTGTGGCCAACCTCTCCTCTTTACCAATTCCCGCCCAAATCTCACCTTTTTCTCCTCGCAGGTACACCTTTTCTCTTATCTTTGCTCTCTCTACACTCGTATTGTTGCTGCAATGAATTTTCCTTGATATAAAAACCTAATTTGAATGATTAATGTTGTCAAATGTTACTAATCATGTCTGCGCAATGTAGTACTGAAGTATACATTGCATGATTGTTCTTGAATGTAGTATTGGACTTTGGTTTGTCACGATTCATATGAACAAAAACTTTCACAGCGCGAGTGTATGAAGAAAATCATAATCGAACATGTTTTCAGGTGTTTCTATTCCATCAACACCTAAGGAAGGAGGAGAAAGCTAGATATAGCTTGTGCTGTTCTTTATCTATTAAAGAGCAAAACACACCAAATTGCTTTTCAGCTCCAAATATAAATGATGGATACAAAAGATTTACACCGTCCTTTAAGCAGCTTGACAAGAGATTAATTTTATGTTGCGGTATGTTTGTGCTGAAGACTAAATGCATTCCCGGGCTCAGAAAAATATCCATCAGCATCCAAAAATCACTACAATTCTCTGCACTGTTTAATAATATTGTTCCTGCTTTTTCTGTGAGTAATTTTGTTCTTGGCGTGATGCTTGTCATGACATTGGGTTCCACCGTCGCCAAAACTCCTTCCTGTAAGTTTTACAGAATTGATTAACTTGAATTTTTAGAGTGTTTTTCATTTTTCTGTAATGCTTTGCCTTTTGAACTGTGTAGTGGCCCTTACTGAAGAAAATCTTCTTTTCTTGGAGGCATGGAGGACACTTGACCGTGCATATGTTGATAAAACATTCAATGGGCAGAGTTGGTTTAGGTATAGAGAAAGTGCACTACGCAATGAGCCTATGAACACAAGAGAAGAGACATGTAAGCCTCGCTGTATTGATGTTCTGTAATGTACTATCTAATCGTTTAAGTTTTCATTGCTTACGTTCACAAATGTGTTGTATGCTCTAATCTCTCTCTTTTTTTCTTTTTACTTCCCTGCAGATGCGGCTATTAGAAAGATGGTTGCTACACTTGATGACCCTTTCACTCGGTTTTTGGAGCCTAAAAAATTTAAGAGTCTGCGGGTATATTTCTGCTGTGAAATACCTGGATGTGGAGGCATCCTCATACTCTGAATAAAATATTTATTCTAGCTTTCGTAGTTTAATCACGAGGTGATTGGTATTTTTGTTTTTTTGAAGGCAGTCAGGAACACGAAATACTCTCACTGGAGTAGGGATTTCAATTGGTTACCCTACTGGAAAAGATAAATTGACCTCTGGGCTGGTGGTTGTCTCTGCTGCCCCAGGAGGTCCGGCAAATAGGGCTGGAGTTCTTTCTGGGGATTTAATTCTTGCAATTGATGATATGAGTACTGAGAGCATGGGAATATATGATGCTGCTGAACTCTTGCAGTAATTGTTTCTTTTCTTTTCTTTTTTTTTTTTTATAATTTTTTCCTAAGACTCATTGGGGTTCGTAAAAAATAAAATTGTGATGATATTTTACCTTTGTTATTTTTTAATTATCAGTCTTCTTTTCAAACTACAAGGGTTGTTTTTTAACCTGATATTTGGCTTTATAGGAAAACACAAAGACAAAGCTCTTTAAAGGTGTTTGTAACATCGCGTATTTGTTTCACTTGTTTCATAGTTAGCTAGTTACTTCATTTATATGTTTTACTTAATGCATAGATATTCAGTCACATTGGGAAAGTTCTGTTTCTCATTTTTTCCTCATCTTTTCTTTTTCAATTTTGCAGTCCATTGGTGTCTGATGATATCATTTTTGTCACTATCTTGCTTGTTCCTTTTGTTTCTGGATTTCATTATTTCTCGGATTTGCAATATTTTTGGGGAGCATGGAAATTTTATGTTTTCCACAAGTCCTAGACTTACCTGGCCAAGAATTTCGTGTGAATTGCCTGCACCTTTAATGTTTTATGCAATTTTTGTTTAGTTGAAAGCTCTATAACTTGATATTGTGAATGATTTGATAGGGGCCCTGAAGGAAGTAGAGTTGAGCTAGTTGTACGTCATGGTTCTGAGACAAAGAACCTCTCCGTGGTGTACGTATATAGTTGTTTGTTTGAGAATTTATGTCCTTTACTTTATTGCTATGTTCTGAGTTATAATTCATCATAAGAAGTTTGTAGTTTTGGACATTCAATTTGACCTGGCTTTGGAGTCACCAACTACACTTTTTCTATTGCATTATTGATTAGAAGAAGCTTTAGGAAAATAATAATACGTCTTAACACAAGTTATAATTTGATTTTTCAAACAATAACTATATGTCAGTTGCTGCATTTCAGACGAGAGAAAGTTTCACTGAATCCAGTGAAGTCTCGAGTATGCAGAACGTCTAGCTTGGGTGATGATGGTCCTCTGGTTGGATATATCAAATTAACAACATTCAACCAAAATGCTTCCGGTACAGTACCTACTGGCTATTGCTATGCTTAAAGACTAAGCTCTTATACTCTCTTCAATTCATTTATCAAAATTTTGATCTATGAACTTCGAGACTATTTTGCATCATCCATTCCTATTTACTGATAGATCAAATTCTTGATCTACAAACTTAATGAATAATTGTTATTTGTTGTAAATACTTTTTAATCAGCTTTATTTTCTGACAAGCTCGCACCCTCCAAATTCCTTTATTATTTTTTCTTTCTTTTGTTTTTCCTCTTTTCACTCAAGTTGTCATGATTATTTCCTTTTAGGTGCTCTTAGGGAGGCAATCGAGAAATTGAGAGAAAATAATGTAAATGCCTTCATACTGGACCTCCGGGATAATAGGTAACATCCTCCCAATGTTCTTCATCACATTATTCTCTAAGTTGAGTTCCTAAATTAGAACAACTTGTTTCAGTGGGGGACTTTTTCCTGAAGGAGTTGAAATCGCTAAGATATGGTGAGTCGCTTGTCAGACTTACTATTTGCTAAGTGTATAGTGAATCATGCTATAGCATTTGTATTTGCCAAACAAATATCTCGTGATGAGGATTAATTACGAAAGGATAAAAAACTTCAAAATGGTATTCGTAATTTTAACGATACTTAATTTTAGTATACGTCAAGCGGTAGTTTCTATAAGTATCCCATGTCACTCCCGTTATCATTGGCCATATCATTTATTTTTTTGTTCTCATAAAAGTATTATTAGTAATTATCAGGTTGGACAAGGGTGTCATTGTATACATTTGTGATAGTCGAGGTGTGAGAGATATATACGAGACCGATGGAACCAATGCAACAGCAGCAGCCTCTGAACCATTGGTTGTGCTGGTATGTTATGACTTCACTTTTTCAATTCTACATTTTACATGGGTTTTATATTTAAATATTTAGGGAAAAGAAATTTGTACCCCAACTATGCCCACTTTTCGCTTTTGGTAACCGGTATTCCAAAAACACACACATTCGAGCGCCAGTTAACGACAAATATGAATTCAAAACCTAAAATGGGAGAAGAGGAACTAAACAAGAGCTCACCCATCAATATTAGACAATTGAGGCTTTGGGAATTCCACTTTGAATTTTCAACAGTGCTGTTGCATGAAGCAGAAATATGGGAATTAAATCGACGATCTGCCGGCTATTGCGTGCTCCAATCGACAATTGGGAGATACCCTTGATTCCTTGAAAAAAAGAGTTTTCAGAACATATATTTTTCATTAAAAAATAATGGTGGGATCTTCGGTGATATTCAAGCAATCTTCAAGGTGCAATTTTTTGAAATCCAACACCGGCAGAGGTGGTGGCCGTTGACGGCCTTTGGTCGGAGGCCGGCGGCCACCGACATGACCAGGGAAGATGGTGAATTTAATTCATTTACTTATATATATTATAATATTTTTGAATTTACTAATAATTAATTGAAATTTTATAATATTTTATTAGACTTTTAATTGTAATGATGCGGTTAGTCTTTGACAAAAAAAATGGGAGTTCACTCAGTACGGAAATATACCACATTTTTGCTTTTGGTACCCGAGTTTCCAACTTAAAAGTTTTCGAAATTAATCACTTTATTTTATCATACGATACCTCGAGATTCATAAAAATTCCTAGTAAAGGTTCCAAAAAATTTTGGCCAAAATGCGCTTTAAAGTTTGACTGAGTTCTACCAGAAATCCCACCTTAAATTTGAAAAAATACACATATAGAAAGCCAATTTATTGAAGAACCACCAGTGTATCCCGACCATCAATCGAGTCCCTCGATCTCCGGATATAAGACAGAGAAGTTTCCAGTTTTCCGGCGAGTTAGGCGGCTGCTAGATATAAGACAGAAGTTTTGATTTTCCGACAAGTTGTGGTGGCTGGAAAACTGGAGACTGCACAGGATTATTTCCACTGATTGAATAACTAGATTTGTGATTGGGAAATACCGTTGGATTAATCAAGAAATTAATTTTATATACGTATATTTTTCATGAAAATCCAACAGTTGGATCATTGGTAGTAGCACTCGGTCAAACTTTGAGGTGCATTTTGTCCCAATTCTTTTGGAACTTTTAACGACGATTTCGACAAATCTCAAGATATCATATGGTAAAATAAAAAGATATTGTTGGATAGGTCGAGTCGTGATTTTCAAACGATATATAATTTATTAAAATCCGCCACTGGAGGCACCGACAGCGGCATGCGTCTGCCGTCAAATCTTAACATTTTTTTTTAAAGTTTGGGCCAAAAGCGATTAATTTTGAATACTTTAGCGACCAAAACTTATTAAGTTGGAACTTCGAGTACCCAAAAGCGAATATATTTCCGGTAACAATAGTGGTTTTTTCCCACAAAATAATTAAAGGCTTTGATTGAAAATGATTAATGGACGACACGATAGATATCAAAATTAAGTAAGCTTGAATATGATTTACCAAAAGAGAAATGCGTAGTTACCAAAAGAGAGATGGGTATAGTTGGGGTACCATAATTGATTAATTTCCAAATATTTACGTTGAAATTTAACAAAATTTATGCTCATTTCCTCTGGCTATTCTTTCCTCACTTTATGATTTTGATGTTATTTGTCTTGTTAGAGCATTTCCAATGCTCCACTTTTAACATTAATTAAATTTGAACACATGTCAAATGATGAATGGAATGTAAATCCATGTAATATGAATGTCAAAAGAGAAGACTTTAATTTAGAATGCACATCTCCAATGTATCCCTTTCAAAAGCTTAAAATATGTTAGATTTTTTATGAGTTGTCTTTCAAACACTCTTTGGAAAACTAGAAAGTGAGCTTCACACTTTGGATATTTATTTTCTCCATGTCAACATAAAAGAGTCCATAACATTATGGATTGGAGAGTAATTTTTGTAATCACTTTATAACTTGATGATGTGGCTATCATTTTATTAAGTCAACATCTCACATTGGAGGTGCTGGCAAAAAAATTCATGACCCGCTTTCATTGGGCTAGTTACTAAAACTACTACCGAAATTAACTTTGTTATGGAAAGACCCAATTATCTATTAGAAATACAGATACCTCTTCTTGATGCTTGTATTTACAATTAAATACTCGCTCAGGGGCAACTTTTATCAAAATCTTCAAAGATAATTAGGATTTTTTGTGTAATTTGGCTATACTGCATGGGTGGCTTTTGTACCTTTTTCATGTTGCAACTTTGTGTTGAAAAGTTCCTCCTCTATAGGTAAATAAAGGAACAGCAAGTGCTAGTGAAATTTTAGCTGGAGCACTGAAGGACAACAATCGTGCGGTTGTACTTGGAGAACCTACTTACGGAAAAGGGTGACTTTTCTAATATACCATTTTCTTTATGCCTCGTAATAATCATATTTAAAAAATGTTCGATTGATTTCTACAACTTTGTGTTATTTATTCTGCAGCAAGATTCAGTCAGTTTTCGAGCTGTCTGATGGCTCTGGATTGGCTGTAACTGTTGCTCGTTATGAAACACCTGCACATACTGACATTGATAAGGTTTCTCTCTTACTCTCTTCTTTTTCTTTTTTCTCCCCATGTTATTAACTTTGCTTTGAATTTTATCTGCGAGAAGGTTGGCATAATTCCAGACCATCCTCTGCCAGTTTCATTTCCGAAAGATGAAGAAAGTTTGTGTGGTTGCCTTTTGGACAGTACATCTGCTTGCTACTTAAATAGGGCGGAATTATTCTTCAGATGATACTTCAAGAAGCAGTTTATTTCTATGGATTCTTTTATTCTTATTGACATTCTGGATGAGGTTGAAGTTGGAGGCAGGAATTTGGTTTCGAATATGCGAGGGAAAAGCCCTTTGGTCACCCTGTAAAGACTTTTTGGAAAGATAATCCAAGTTGTAATCCGCATGTTCAATGATTTTTATTTCGTTTATGCATGGTTGGGCTGTCTTGTATATTCATTTTCTTGAAGTATTTATTATAAATTGAAATAATAAATAATTAGTTTGTATCCCTTACAATGGACCGGAAAATGTTACGGCGTTAAGATTTATAAATTATGTTCAAATAACATAAAGATCTTTCTGCACCGATCGAAATTGCGATAGAGGTTCCAATCCCAGATTTTGAAACGGATGGTAATGAAGCTTTTCAGTTCTAAGTATTTGTTGTTCGATACAGACAAATTCGAGATAGAGAAGCTCTTATCCCTCTTCGTAATGCATTGATTGAGTATTTATGGGAGGAATTCTCTAATTCAGAAAATTAGTTGTAATATTATTGTAATCGTAGTTTCTAACGGTCTTCATTTTTTTCATTGTACTATGTAATTTGTATCCTATTGTTTGAACTTATGAAGCAGTCTCGTGTTGTTAAACATAAACATATCTTAATTATTTGAGTAATAAACATTAATATAAGATTACATATTCATATATATAACAATTTACTTAAAATAAAATAAATAAAATATATTTTTATTAATTGAGTAATAAATATTTTTAATAAAATTAAATATACACATATATATCAATTCATTTGAAATAAAAATAAATAAAATACATTTTTATTATTTAGGTAATAATCATTTATATAAGATTATATATACTAATTTATTTGAAATAAAAAATAATATATTTGATATAGAGTAAAATGTAGAAATAAGGGCTGAAGATGAATGTTTAACTCTATTATAGAGTAGAGTTAAGTCAGCGCTAGAGTAGAGATAAGGGCGGGAGATGGCCTAAGATTCATTCAGAACTTTTTTGTGACATCTTTTGATGATTGTGCAAGATGTAAGCTATTTATTTACCATATAAATTTGATAATCATATATTGTGGTCATTAAAAAAATATATTTTCATTTATATATAATTTTCTTGACATCATTTTCAATTAATCTTCAGAATAAGAAGTTATTTCTTGAACATTTTGAATTGCCAAATATTCATACTAAACGCAATATTTAATGTGATCAATCTACAAATAAAACAATACATAGTTAACTTAAATTTTATAATTTCTCGTATATAAATTATTTTTTAATGTATCAATATCATAAACTATTTTTTACTTTTTTTTTGTAATTCTTATTACAAATACATGATTACATTTATGATACATGAGAATAATATAAAAATAAAATTTTATAATAATAATAAAATTTTAATAGATTAATTTTTTTGTAATATACAATATTTATATTTGATTAATTTCTATATAATTGTAATATACAATATTTATATTTGTGGTTTTTGGATTTCAATTTTCTGCCTCATCATTTCACTGTCGTGATCCCTCTTCATTGCTGAGCTCATTATCATCTGTCTAAATTTTTTATTTTCCTCTTTCATTGTTTTTATAACTGCAGATACATCTTCTCCCTGTTTTCTCTTAAATTTAATACCTAATGGTCGTTGAGATGATGAACCACCACTAGCATTTTCATCGCTTAAATTAATAGAAAAATTAGATAGTTCTGGATTAGGTGAAATGGGAGACTCGGGTTGTGCATCTGATTGCGGTTGAGAAGAAAACGTGTTTCGCCTGGTTGATGTGCACTCAAACAATGCAAAATCTTTCGTACTATTCCACACATGCTCGTACTTGAATGATTTATTACTTTTATTTTTTGGGTGTTGCGAATAAATTACATTTGCATGCTCCCATCTACAATAGTTTTTTTTATAAATATAAATAAATAATGCTTGTAAAATTTCTTACCACATCATATTCAGAAGCCCCACTGATGTTTGCATTTTCAATTTGCTCCACACAAGATTTGAAAAGTTTAATAACAGTATTGATAGTTCCCACGCGACATTGGATTGATCTTTGTGGACGATCAGGCTACATTGGATTGGGTTTTGTAGAATTATTCTCATTCGTCACACGGAGCCAGAATTGATCTGTACTTTGATATATGCCCTCCTCTGGGTCTTGAGAAATTTCCATATTAGACCGACATAGGTGTTGATCTTCACTCACAGTATAGTTGGAACCCATAGGAGAAATTACTACAAGAAAATAGATTTAAAACATAAATTAGAAAATGCTGAAGTTATACTTTGATGGTACAAAATTTTGCCTCACCATGTAGCGTATTTATAGTATATTTCATTTCCAATGATAAGAATTGTACGGTTGAGGAAATCTGATTTAACGGCTAAGATTGAAAGTTGTGGATTTCCTTATCTACAATATCAACCATACGATTCTTATCTCAAGATTTAATAGCTAAGATTGAAAGTTGTAGATTTCCTTATCAACATATCAACCGTACGATCAGAAATCAAGATTTAACGGCTAAGATTGAAAGTTGTAGATTTTCTTATCTACATATCAGCCGTACGATTCTTATCTCAAGATTTAACGGCTAAGATTGAAAGTTGTGGTACGATTCTTATCTCAAGATTTAAAGGATAAGATTAAAAGTTGTAAATTTTCTTATCTACATATCAACCGTACGATCAAAAATCAAGATTTAATGGCTAAGATTGAAGTTGTGGATTTCCTTATCTACAATATCAACCGTACGATTCTTATCTCAAGATTTAACGACTAAGATTAAAAGTTGTAGTTTTTCTTATCTACATATCAACGGTACGATTAAAAATCAAGATTTAACGGCTAAGATTGAAAGTTGTGGATTTTCTTATCTAAATATCAATGGTACGATTAAAAATCAAGATTTAACCACTAAGATTGAAAGTTGTAGATTTTCTTATCTACATATCAACCATACGATTCTTATCTTAAGATTTAACGGCTAAATTGATAGTTATGGATTTTCTTATCTACATATCAACTGTACGATCAAAAATCAAGATTTAATGGCTAAGATTGAAAGTTGTGGATTTCTTTATCTACAATATCAACCGTACGATTCTTACCTCAAGATTTAACGGCTACGATTAAAAGTTATAGATTTTCTTGTCTACATATCAACCGCACGATTCTTATCTATGAAAATCAAGATTAAACGGCTGATTAAAAGTTTTAGATTTCTATATCACTATTTATACAGAGATTTTCACTCAAATTTTTCATTCGTTAACTCTTGCATTTGCCAGAAATATATGAATCTCAATCACATTGGTATTTCTTATGCATTTTTTTCTTCAAGTTCATCTGATGATAAACTTGAACAACTACTAGATAGTTTTGATACAGAGAAACATCAGATAGCACAACAAAATTACAACAATAATATACTTGTGCAAGAATTCTTAGAACTCAACAAGGTGGTCGAAGCCATGGAGGTTCAGTTCCTGGTCGAAAAACAATATTTTGCGATCGAGAAGCAGCTGCATTTAACAATTATGTTTCTGAAAACCCAAAATCTAATGAAGCCATGTTTTGTAGACGTTTTCAGATGTCTAGAAATTTATTTTTTCGTATAGCAAATGCAGTTAAAAGTCATGATCATTATTTTTTTCAGCAAAAAGATGCAGTTGGTAGACTCGGATTGTCTACCTATCAAAAGTTAACTGTTGCATTTCAGATAATAGCATACGCTGTACCAGCAGATGCGACAGATGAATACATAAGTATTGGAGAGTCCACCGCAATTGAATGCCTGAATAAATTTTGTCATGCTGTTGTAGAGATATTCGGAGAGCAATATCTACGTTCTCCCAACGCCAATGACATTGCAAGACTCCTTTATATCAGTAAGCAACGTGGTTTTCCAAGAATGTTAGGTAGTCTTGATTGTATGCATTGGTGCTGGAAAAATTGTCCAACGGCTTGGGCAGGTGCGTATACAGGACGTAGTAAATCTCCAACTATTATTTTAGAAATTATAGCCAATTATGACTTTGGATATGGCATGCATACTTTGGTATGCCTGGATGAACAATGATATTAGTGTGTTAGAGAGGGTTCATTTATTTTCTGACCTTACTCGAGGAATTGCTCCTCCAGCACATTATGTCATCCAAGATAAAGAGTACAAAATGAGGTATTATTTAGCAGATAATATATATCCCAAATGGGTAACTCTTGTCCAAACTGTTCTTGACCCACGTAGTCAGAAAAAAATAAAAATAAAATAAAATACTTTGTGATGAAACAAGAAGCATGCAGAAAGGATGTGGAGCGTGCATTTGGAGTACTGCAAAGTCGATTTGCTATTGTGGCTAATCCAGCCCGATTTTGGAGTAAAAATGACTTACAAGATATAATGACTGCATGTATTATTTTACATAATATGATAATTGAGATGAACGAGATCTTTCTGCACCGATCGAAGCTGCGATAGAGGCCCCAATCCCAGATGTTGAAACAGTGGGTAATGAAGCTTGTTAGTTCCAAGCATTTGTTGCTCGATACAGACAAATTCGAGATAGAGAAGCTCATATCGCCCTTCGTAATACATTGATTGAGCATTTATGAGAAGAATTTTTTAATTCAGAAAATTAGTTGTAATGTTATTGTATTCGTTGTTTCTAATGGTTTTTATTTTTTTATTGTATTATGTAATTTGCATCATATTGTTTGAACTTATGAAGCAGTCTCGTGTTGTTACACATAAATATTTTCTTATTATTTGGGTAATAAACATTTATATAAGATTACATAATCATATATATAACAATTTGTTTAAAATAAAAATAAATAAAATATATTTCTATTATTTGATTAATAAACATTTTTTATAAAATTAAATATACATCTATATATCAATTCATTTGAAATAAAAATAAATAAAATACATTTTTATTGTTTGGGTAATAATCATTTATATAAGATTAAATGTACATATATATACCAATTTATTTGAAATAAAAAACATATATTTGATGTAGAGTAAAATGTAGAGATATGGGCTAGAGATGAATATTTAACTCTACTCTAGAATATAATAAAGTCAGCGCTAGAGTAGATATAAGGACTGGACATGGCCTAAGGATTCATTCAGAAATACTTTGACATCTTTTGATGATTGTGTAAGATGTAAGCTATTTATTTACCATATGAAGTAGATAATCATATATTGTGGTCTTTAAAAAAATGGATTTTCATTTATATATATAATCTTCTTGACGTCATTTACAATTAATCTTCAGAATAAGAAGTTATTTCTTGAACATTTTGAATTGCCAAACATTCATACTAAACACAATATTTAATGTCATCAATGTTCAAATAAAACAATACATAGTTAACTTAAATATTATAATTTCTCAAATATAAATTATTTTTTGATTTATCAATACCATAAACTATTTTTTACTTATTTTTTTGTAATTCTTATGACAAATACATGATTACATTTATGATACATGAGAATGTAATATAAAAATAAAATTTTATAATAATAATAATAATAATAATAATAATAATAATAATAATAATAATATTAATAATAATAATAAATTTTAATAGATTTAATTTTTTGTAATATACAATATTTATATTTGATTAATTTCTATATAATTGTTTTAAAATTTTAAAATTTAATTTTTTCAATAAGGAATTCTGACAAATTAATAATTAGTTTACTATTTTTAAAATTTATAAAGATATATGATATCATTTTGACTTTAAATACATGTTACTTAATCTTTTCAATCTTATATATTATTGAATGGAATATTTACACTTAAACAGACAACCAAAATTTTCATGCATCGACATGACTTTTAATATTATTATTTTAAAAATTATATTTCCACTTTCAGTATATTTGACATAATTCATTATGTAATGTATTTCTTTTGTTTAATTAATTGAAAATAATAATGCAAAACATCAAATAAACCATAAACATAAAAAAGAGAAAATAAAATTTAGAATCACATTAAAATATGAAGTATGCAACACGTGCATCGCATGCGCCATTTACTAGTATAAGAAAACGTTAATAACGTTAGAACACAAATAATCAATAACATAACCAAAAACAAACTTCAACTCCAGATAATCATTCATGGATCAAATTCAAACATAAAAAAAGAAGGGAACAAAATAAACCAGCTTAAATTTTCAAACGAGAAAAAAACAAAATGAATAACTTAGACAAGTTAACTAGTAAAAGAGTAATCCAGTCAACACAAAACACACGATGATAAGTCGCTAGAGAAACATTGCTTACGGACACTAATTTATTTGTTGTTCTTTTACATAACTGTTAAACACTTGTTCTCCAAGAGTTTCTTGATTGTATCAGCCGCATCTTGAACGGTGATGATGTTCTAACACTTCTCCATCAGCTTCTCGATGAGATCCGCAGCATCTTGAACGGTGGTGATGCTTTGGGCACTTTCTTCCTCCACAGAGATTCCAAACTCCTCCTCGAGTCCCATCACAATCTCAACCTAACAGAATAAAAAATTCATCAAAATATATCAACTAGCTTTACACAAAACCAGATAATAACTTAATTAAGTCAGAATATCACTTTTAGTTGAGATTTTGATTGCTTGGGGTTAGATCATATCATGAGGTTTTTAAGTGAAACATAATCTCTTCAGCCTCATGCCTTGAGCTTTTAAAATTGTTTAAGAGAAAGTTGACTTTTTCTCAAGCATGCGAAATGCGTACGCAATATGAGTGCAGTACGTGAAGCTCACAAAGATTTGTCCTCGTTGTACACTAAACATAATAAATATTTTAAATCGTGGATAAATCGATGTTACTGAAGTGGGTAATTTCATGTTGAAAGTTGACATTAGTTTTAAACTAGAACAATTAAATAAATATGAAAAGATATATTGCAAACATTAAATCAACTACAGGATGTTTGAACAATAAATACATGAGTTAAAACTAAAAGCTATGTTTTTACTAAGTATGAGGAAGATAAAGCTGTCAAAAGGTGGCCCATGAATCCCGTAGTAAACCACAATCAAGTAAATTATTGACATAACATCATCAAGAAAGACTGTTATTTCTTAAATAACTATCATAATACAAGATGTATAAAAAGAAATGAAGAAATTAGTGCCTAACTGGAAACCTATTGATTGAAATGCAGTGGCAAATATTACGAAAAGAATTATTAAGTCACAGCACTAGTACTCAAAGGTGTCAATCTTTATGAAACTTATCTAATCTTAGAGGTGAGGTACATAGCTCGATAGCATGATGACAAGCCAAAACTAGCTGTCACAGCCTTGGTAATAAGGTTATTAGGTTAGATATAAAAACTACCGTTAGGTTAGTTTAATTACCAAAAAGAAAAAAAAAAAAATCAAATATCTTTGTTAGCACGACTAGCTCCTTGAGGTTTGCACAAATAGCCCTCTTTCCCTTGTTGATGGTGGCATGTTTGTATCATGTATTAACACGAGGGGGTTATATGCATTTGTTTCTAAAATACATAGTTTTTTTTTTCATTAGGGTAAAACGAGGTATAAATTTTTTTAATAACATCTTAATTGCAAGCGTGAAACAGTTACCGTGTCAAGAGAATCAGCACCAAGTGTAGCAAATTTTGACTCCCCACTGACTTCGCAATCATCAGACAGTGCTAGCTGTTTTTTCACAATTTTCACTACTTTGTTTACTGTCTCTGGTTTGGCCTGTTAACCCACACCACAAAAAATTAAATAAATAAATAAAACAAAACATTTGAATTAAGAAGAAACTAGAAAGGAAGAACGAAGTAGACATATCCAAAGTCATCAACAGAGTGAACTGGAAGATTCAGTATATATATCTAGGGAAAAAGCTAAATGACTAAAAGTTAAAAAACAATGGAACAGTAAATAGTTTCAGTAAGGAAACATACAACACAAGCAACTCTGAAACGAAGAGCAGGCACTCTACGAGATGAAAAGTCCTTCCCACTAAATGACAGTGAAGCCTTCCTCAAATTAAGAACCTGCCAAAACGGAAAATTCTATAAATAAGTGGGGGGCATATAAGTACAAATAAAATTGATATGTTGAACATTCTTGAATCTTTCTTAATTTACTCCTTACATTATATTTGTAATCTTGTTTAAACATCTGTATTGATAACAGCAGCGAATTCACCAAAAAATAAAAAAGGAAATTTTACAAAAGTAAAGAAAGCATATAACACGCACACAATCGTGAACAAATATCTGGAGAAGTGGACTTAATTCAGGGGCTTAGAGTATTGAACATTACCAGTGAACGAGCTCAAAATTTTAAAGTCATACAAACTGAACTCTGTCAACTAAAAAAAATAATTGCCTACTTAATTTCAACTTCCCTGAATGAGACTGTTGCATAGTACCAAAACCGAGAATTTTAAAGCTACCAATTAAGATGTCTCATGAATAAAAGCTTGGGACTACAGGAAAATTAAGTATCTTAATTACATATTCTGTAATTCTTGGTTAATAGAAAAGTAGGAGCTATAGTAACAAATCCTGAAGGAGATTATTATTAGATTGTTGATTGAGAAGATCGTAGATCACGGCTCAGAATGCACATCCATAAAACTAAAATACATATCACAACAAAGCAGAATCATAACCCAAACACCAAGAAAAACACATCGACCCGGTTGAGAATACCAGAGATCTTAAAGAAGGCTACCTGATTACGCTCCAATGAGGAAGAAATGGCGGAGAAGGAAGCAGGAGAAGCGGTGAAAGAAGCCATTGTTTATGGGGTGCGAGAGAAAAATAGATCTGAGGAAAAGGGAAGAGGAGAGGGTGACGGAGAGTACGAAGAAGGTGTGATATACCTTTGATTTGAATACGCTGTGTAGAGAGTAGAAGGAGTGATGTTTTATAGATGTGAGAAAATTTCCAAAATTCTTCGATTGTATCGAAAGGGTGTGTGATGTTATGTGGGTCCAAAATGTAGGTTTTCCTGTAGCACACTAGTTTGAACTAGGCTGAGCACGAGACTCAAAGAATTCCGAATAGTTTCGAAAATCGAATCGAAATTACTCTGAACCGAAAAATATCTGTTGACCGTTTGACTTTCTCCGAACCGAACCGAACTGAAAAAATAATTGATACAGTTCTGGATATTTCATAAATATCCGTACCGAGAACTGAACCGAACCGTCCCGTACCGTACCGAACCGAAGAACCGAATTATAAAAATAAATGCGTGTTATTAATGTATTTTATGTCAACTTTGATCTTATATAATTTGAAAATTTTTAAAATGCAAGTAAAATATAGTAATAACAATTAAGATTCACTTACATTTTATGATTAGCAATACTTTATCTACAATTAAATTTCTCATGTTTAAAAAAAATTAAAATAGAATGAAAGGTTAAAGATTTAAAAAATAAAAATATTTAAACTTTACATAAAGTTGTCGATACTTAGGCTTAGTTTATCTTATAACTAATATGGTATGAAATGTTAAATAAATATTACTTTAATAAAAAACTGTATTATATTTTGTTTGAATTTTAAATTTTCAATGTTAGTTGAATTTAGTCTTAACTAAAATTTAAGGTTACTTGTAAAGTTGATTTAAAAATAAAATCTTTAGTATGATGAAGTATTGATGTAACGGTGGATTTAAAAAAAACATATAAAAAATAAAATATAACTAGGTTGTCATTCAAAAAATTTTAAAAATGATAAGAAATCTCCGAATATCCGAACCGAACCAAACCGAACCGAACCGAACCGTTCCGATAGTCCTGAAAACCGAACCGAACTGAACCGAAAAATTAAAATCTCCGTACCGGACCGAACCGATTTTTGGTACGGTTCTGGAGATCGAATTTTAGTGATCTTTGAACTTCGGTACGATTCTGGAGATTTATCAATCTCCAGAACCGTACCGACCCATGCTCACCCCTAGTTTAAACCAAATTTTCCTACCCCATATTATTTTTCCTTTAATGAAATTGTTTTTAGTATTCGAAAAAAAAATTGTTTTTAATAGTATAAATGTTGGTCATTTTTTTGTCAAATTACTCAACATGTACCACGTATCGAAGATATCAACACTGAGAAGCATTGTTGTCGATCTGAATATCGACCTAAGTAGGAACACGAAGAAGATCCCTTGTCGACCTAATCAAGATTACAAAGGAAGTCAGTCATCCAACTAAGAGCATCTACAGTGGTATATTGTCATTTAGAGATGTATAACATAGAAGAAGAAAATTATAAAATTGCGTTTCCAATGGTTAATGTCAACTTTAGTATAATTTGAAATGTATAAAATTATAATTAATTGGAGATGAGAGAAATATATAATAAATAATAGAATGTATATTGTATAATGAAAGGTTTAGAAGTAATTATTTGTTTAGAAAGACTTATAGACATTTTCAATGCCACATAAGATTTATTAGGGCCACATGACAATAAAATAGAACAATCTATGAATCATTTGAGATGTTCTAAAGTATCAACTTCAAATCCCTAAAAGGCGTATGTTGCAGAGTCTCCCTCCTTTGACACGTGTCCAAAAGGTACAGGTTGTGGTGGCATAACTTAACACACAATGGAATGACTCATGTCCAATTCGTTCAGTATAATTAGAGAATTTTAAATGATTCCTAAAAAGTCCACCACAAATATCGTCCAAGGGGCCGACAAAAGTTTGAAAGTTTATATCACTCAGTTCAATACTCAGGTTCAAAATATGGAATCGTGTCATCCTAACATACTTTTGGTCTTTTCTTATGCTGGGCTTTGACCCTTATTCCATGTTTCGTTGATCTCTTTTCCAAGACAAGTCGACGACCTATCAAGAATTTCCCACACGTGCTCAGCAACATATTATTGTTGAAGAATTTGCTTTCTTGTCGATCATCGAATGTCTGAAGGTTTCCCCATTTAAGCCAAAAGAGACTCAACCCACTCGAGCTCCTAAAGATAGAGAATCCCGAGCGGTAAGGCTGGAGGCCACCAGCAAGAAGGAACAAAATGGTAGCAAGCTATAGAGAAGTGCATGTACCCGACATTTATGAAGAAACTAAAAACAAAAGGATTTGGCCAGATGCCAAGTCGATCTTGAGAGATGAGACCACTTTAGATAAGTCCTAGTGTTGTATCTATCATAAAAAATTACAGACACAATACCGATCAATGCTAGAAGGTTATGTTCACTCTAAAGGCCATAGGAATCCTCAGTTGGAAAGAATCATTCTCCCTCAGATGGATCACAAGAGGCTGAACCGTTAAGAAGATCCACCTTTCGAAGAAGATACCCCTAATCCCGACAAACGACATAGGGATCCCCCGAGGGAGGTACTCACTTTCGGTTCTCTCGATCAAGACAAGTCCAGCTCGTTGAGGCGTCAATCCCACCAAGCTGATACTAGTTTGTGGAAGCCTCGACTTATCATAATGAGGTCAGCTCATCCAATCTAAACGAGGCCAGTTCGTCGAGGCATCGACCCCACCAATCCAAAGCCCGTTGGGTGCCTGTCAGACATACATCTTATTGTCATTATTTTTACCAGATATTAATCTCAAAGGATCAATCCCCGATTCGTATCTCAAGGAAGGCTAGGCAGAATAGTTTGCACACGTATCCTAACACAAACAGATAAAACTAATATCCTAACATGACTTTTCTCCCAACTCAAAGAACGCTAACCTGGAGTAGTTTTTCAATCACATTAATTTTTGCTTTATCAACTTCAACTAGTATGAATCCCGTGCGATGCACGGGTAAGAGATATTATTAATATTCATAAATTAAAAATACTCATTAAATAATATTTATAAATTAAAAATATGAAATCAATATGTAATACAATTTTCCTGTACTAATTTACTTAAAATGCTATATAAAATTTAAATTGTGCAAAACTACATAAAACATGTCTATTAAAAATTCGTACTCAACCCGTACAGTGCACATAACTGATAATAAACTACATTATATCATTTCAAAATAAGTGTCCTTTTAAAATTTTTATTCACAAATTTGATTTGAATACAATGTGGTTACATAAAATATTTATTTTGGTAAAGTTTTATCATATATTTAAAAGTCTATGTGAATAAATAAGTATAATATTAAAATTTATATTATTTAATTAATTAAAATTATTTTTTTTTTGTATAAACTATTCACTTCAAAAAAATTAAATAGTTGAGTAATTTATTAAAATATAAATAATTGACTATTCTATTTACGTCCAAGTTAATATTGACTCGTAAGTTATGAATAATTACTTATTTACATTTTAAATTTGAAATCCAAATTTGGAATGCACAATAAATCTCCTTGTATAGTTTATATATATTTATATTTTACTAATCCCAAAATTTTCTGAATTTGTTGTCGGTTACCTTGTCGTTCAAATTTATCAACTAATTCTCCATTATTGAATTACAAATTTTAAATTTTACTATCAAATATCTTCCTAATTTTCAAGAGTAATACATACCAATTTGCCTATCTTACGGCAAGTTATTATGAGAATATGCTAAAACTTGATAGTCATATCACCTGATTTTATAACAAACAACCTAAAATCGACTTTCATACTCATACTAACTAAAATTCATACCACTTATTTTATTTTGAAATACACTTTTATCCATACAAAATAAAATTCATATTATTTAAGTTCGGACATTTTATACCAAAATAAAATGACCCTCCTTTTATATTCTTATAGTTTACGCAACACGAAAGTTTATTTACACTACATAGTATAAGAACCAAAATGCGATGATTTACTTAATGCATATATTAAAACACTAAAAGATACACAATTTCAATATAAATGGCCGATCAAGCGAGATTACATTGTTTATGGGGAAACCCGTGCATCAAGCAGGCTAAAATTTCAAATGAATTGTTAAAAATTAAGAAGGTCATTTATTTTTTTAAAAGAAAACTAATAAATTTTATCCATTCTCAATAAATTTTTAAAAATCATCCTCTTTTTATTCATCATTATACTCAAATATTATTTTATTCTAATATTTATTGTCATATAATATATATTAAGATAATTTTTAAATTAACCACCCAATTTTATTATATGCAAATATTTTGATATTCTAACAAACTAAGTTTTATACTCTTATAACTTACGCAACACGAAATTCTATTTACGCTACATAATATAAGAACCAAAACGCGACGAATTACTTTAAAAAAATTTAAAACACTAAAAGGTATACAATTTCAGCATAAATGGACGTTCAGATGAGATTACATTATTTATGGGGAAACCCGTGTGTCAAGACTAAAAATTTTAAATATTGATTTGTTATTAAACAAATCATTTATTAAAAAAAGACAAAATAAAATTTAACCATTCTTAACATTATCCATTCTCAATCTTAGATTATGTCCATTCTCAATTTTATATTTACGTCCATTCTCAATATTATTGTTATGTCCTTTCCAATCATTTTTTAAATGTTTTTGTTTTAATTGACTTGTTTAAACCAATGAGTTAAAATCAATTAACAGGAATAATTTTATCCATTCTCAATTTATTGTACAAATATTTATTTGAAATATATTTATTCATTACATAATAAAATAAATATAATATTCTAATTAATATTTGAAATGTGTATGGAATGTTGCGGCTGTGATATATATAGAATGTCGCGAATAAGTAATATAAATTCCAATGGATATGGAATGTTGCGGATGTGGTATATATTAAGGGAAAATCTTTATTTATATTAAAATTAATAGATAAATATGTTTCCATAATAAATCTATATTACTCTAAAATAAAATCAATATATTTTGAAATTCGAAATTAAAGCTCTATTGGCAGGTTTTTTTCGATTTTTTCAAGAAGATTACCAAGTTTAGAAATTTTAAAAATTTTTAGCGGGATTTTGATTTCTACGTCAAATAAATGCAAACCCTTATATATAGTAT